AAGAACCTGGAAACAATCATGCTGCCCATCAAAAGAGGACTGGATTAAAAAATTGTGGTACATATACACGATGGAATACTATGCAACCAAAGAAAAGAACAAAATCATGAATTTGCAGCAACCTGGATGGAACTAGAATCTATAATACTGAGCGACCTCTCACGGAAACAAAGATCCGAGTATCACATGTTCTCACTCATATAATGGACCTTGAACATCCAATGTAATACTATAAGAAAATGACTGACCGTACTGGGAAACTATGGGGGGGAGGGGGATGGGATTAACAGTAGCAAATATCTGTCTGGGGACGGGGAAACAACTCTTAACAACAGGGTGCCTGAATGAAACGTAATTGTACACCTAACCCTTAACTGTACCCCACAAAACCATAATAAAAATATTGATTAAAAAAAAAAAGAAATCTGAAGTTACTTAGTCTGTGATTTCATTTATCAGTCCAATTACTACCTTCCAAAAGTGATGGGTTGTTAAGGCTGTTTCTCCTTTAATATCTACAAACTCACAGTCCTACGATGGCACCTACCATTCAGGGTCTTTCCCCAACCCAAGCTGCCATCCTATAAATGCTCATGCATTTGACATGGGTAATCTCTCCCTTAATTTAGCTTCATCATCAACAGCTCTTTTGAGGGTGCTCTGGTGTCTGTCTGGGTTATTCTTAAAGACTTCATTTCTTTGTAGAACTCAAATTATGCACACTTCTTAAGCACCATGATTACTGCAACCATCCATCGTTACAGATATTTCTTTCCTTAAAGCTGGTTTGCTGTATGCCACATCATTCACTATTTCTGTAAGAGTGGAATCTCTTAATGCTAGCATTGCTTTTAACAACAGAAAAAAAACCTGAAAAATATATTAGCTCATAAATACAATGTGCACCAAAATGGACTTTTTTACATTGTGCCAAGTCATCATTATTATTATTATTTGAGTTGGAGTCTCACTCTATCACCCAGGCTGGAGTGCACGCTCACCACTACCCCAGTGTAGACCTGCTGGGATCAGGCGATCCTTCGGCTTCACCTTTTCAAGTAGCTGGAACTACAGGCGCACACTACCATGCCAGGCTAATTTTTTGATTTATTATAGAGATGAGGTCTTGCAAGTTGCCCAGGCTGGTCTCAAACCTGTGGTCTCAGGCAATCCCCTCACTCCCAAAGTGCTGGGATTACAGGCTTGAGCCACCATGCCTGGCCTTGTGCCAAATTATTAAAGCATAATACAGTCATCAATCTGGGGGAACTCTAAAGATCAGCAAATATGAGTCTAGTCACAACTTGCCTATATTAGTATGTCATCCATGGAAAATTCTTAACCACTTTGGACCTTGCTTTTAATCTGTATCATGAGATTAACAATGGTACTTGCTCAAACTACTCAATAACTTTTATGAGTGTATTTGCGTGTTTATTAGGAACCATGCTTCTGTGCTTTGTTTAGTATGTGAGTATTGAAAAGTGTTTACAATATGATGGCTTTACCAGTCTAGGGAATGTTTAAAAACATAATTTAGGAACAATCCTTATTACATGACATAATAGCACACTATACATCACAGTAATCACCGTGATATTGTATGATTTAACTCTTTGTAATACATTTAACATTTTTATTGATGTTGTTCTTAAATTTTACTTTTTGTTTATGCATAAAAGGTGTATATAGGTTTGTGGTTCACGTGATAATTTAATACATTGATAAAATTTGTAAAGATCAAGTCAGTGTACTTGGGCTATATATTACTTTAAATATTTGTCTTTTCTTTAAGCAACAATCATTTGATATTTCTCCATCACCTATTCTGAAATGTACAAAACTTAATGTAAAGTATGCTCACCCTACTAATCTAGCAAATGCAAGTTTTTTTCCTTACAAACTATATATTTATTGAAGTATTTAGATGTTAAACTTTATTGAAGTATATAAGTGCATACAAGCAAATGAAAATAGCATAGTAAGAAAAAATTACTCCCTCAAAAAACTACTCACAAATCGTGAAAATGGTCTAGGAGAAGAAACTGAATATGCCTTACTTAAGAAAAGCAGCCCCTTCTGGCCCAGCAGAGCTGGCCAGTATTATCATTGAATCCTTTGTGCTGCTTGGAGTCAGCCTTGTTGTCTTCTGTTAAACTATTTTACAGAACATTAAAGTGGTAGAGAGAAAACTTGCCTAACAAAGATGTCTATGTCCTAATCTTGGGAGCCTGTCAACATGTTAGTTTATATGGCAAAGGGCAATTAAGTTTGCAGTTGGAATTAAGGTTGCTGATCAGTGGAGATTTCTGTCAGTTTTTATTTTTGTGTAATCCCACATAACCAGTAAGCGTATTACTCACATCATTAAACCACTGAAAAATAGAGTTGTAGAGTTGAATGAATGGTGAGTGTATCTATCGCTTTTATCTCTATATGTTTTTTCATATACAGATGTTAAACTTTGGGTCAATTTTATTTCCTATGAATTGCATTTCAGAGTATTAAATAGGACAATTCAAAATATTAATGCTATGGATACACTGAATTGACGACTGAACTTTATTGTCTTAGAAGTAAAATAAGTTTGATAAACGCATTGTTTCTCTGGCTTCTACACAGAAAATCTGTCTCTACAATTGTCCTAGGTAGTATTCATGAAGAGCTTTTGAGTTCTTATTGATAAATCAAAAGGAAGATTCTAAAGTCAGATTTTCTGTATCAATATCATTTATTCTAACAGTCTCCTCACAGCTCCTATGGCCTCTGCAGGATGTTGATAAATGAGTTTGGGAGAGATGTAATAATGGTGTAAAATACTGCCACCATCTTGCGCGGTGAAGGGGAATGCAAAGAGTGTGCCTTGTGTTGGTAAAGAGAGTTGTCACATAGAATAAACTTGCCGCAATCAGGTGGGAGGAACAAGTGGAAACAACTTTAGTCTGCCCTTTACCTGAGCTCATCTGGAATACCACAGTAAGCACTCGAGCAGAGGAAGTTAGAATAGTCATGGATGGCAGCAGCAGAATAAAAAGCCCACTCAAGAGGATGGAATACTCATACCGGGAGGTGTCCTGACACATCAACAGCTGATGTAAGGATGGAACTTCACAGAAAAAGTGGTTAATGAGCCGAGACTGAAAGAACAGAAGTTGAAATACACACAGTGTATGCACTAAATAGTTGATAGAACTACTGGTTCATGCACAAGCAACCAGGAAGCAACAGGTGTTCTTGCTCATAAAAATAGGATAATGTAAGGGATGAGAGATGGTTATATATAGATCATCAGACATGAAACTGAGAAGAAGTGCTTCAGTTCCACCAAGGGCCATGCACACAGATGTTTAAATCTCACATCTGAAAGACATAATGGTCTTACTCTTGGACAGAAAACAGCTGTCATTTGGGTACAGTGGTGGAGATGTACATCATCTCAATGATGGAGAGCTGACTGAGTAGAAAGTACATTGGAGTGTGGAGCCTGATGTCCAGTAGAATTACCTCAATTAGTACAATATCCCCATCAGAGCCACTGAAAAGAGGATGACAATGACAGCAAAGAGGAAGGTGTTCATTCAGCTGTATTGGAAAAGATCAACAAGTATAAAATCTATCCCAAAACTTTGATAACCTGTTTTCGTGACTTAAACCAGGTTATAAAAACTGATACTATCTGAAGAGTTCATGTAAAATTTTTGATTTGCCTGTAAGAGAAAGTAAAATAAAAATACTAAATACAATTGAATTTTCTGGAATTATTTTGGTGAATATTTCTCTCTCCTATTCAAGATATTGAATTTGTGTCTTTTCAAAAATTGACATTTTGCAAATGGTAATATATAAAAAAGATTTTGTTACTGATTTTAGAATGAAATATAAAAATGAAAATAAAATAAAGCATTTGATGATTTGTCAGCATTAGCTATTGATTCCCTTTGTTAATATCAAGGTTATAGACTGGAGCTGTGTTTTCTTCTTAAGAAATAATTCTTAAGTGACATGACAGAGTTGAGTTGATCAACTATCACGTAATTTTTTAATGAGTGTTTACTTCATTTCTCAATTTTGAATCACACTGATTGTGAGTAGGAATAAAAGCTGTAGTAGTACCTATATAGAAATGTTATTATAGCCTGGATTAATTCTTAGCTTTTATTTCTTCCTGTAAATGTAGATGTGATTTTATAAATTTAGGAAAAATAAGGTATAGTAAATATTAAAAACATCAGAACGAGTGCAAGAATAAATCATGAATATATGACAATATTATTCTTTGACTCAAGACACCTGTAAAGAATGATTAATGCAAAGCTAAGGAACTGAAATGTTTCCTTCTTTTTTCCTGACTTCTATATATTGCCAGAGCAAATGCATTCTTAACCACAGGTTCTATGTTCTAAAAATATTTAGTGAAATTATCTGAACCAATATAAAATGCTCCCTACCTTTATTGAGCTTCAACTATGAGCAAAGCATAGTGATAGTCATGAAAATCAAAAGGCAGTCTAATTATTGAATTTAGGATAAAATGCTTCTTCTTTAAAAAATTTAGAGATAAAAATTCACTAGAAGTATTTTATAACTTGATTGTATAAGCTATAATTACACAAAACTATTAGCGTTCACTTTCACCTTCTTTGTTTTTGCAATATTTTAAAATATTTTCCCATTATTAATTGCAAATACTCAATACTATTTTTAAAATATTTTAATAAAATTTGACCAAAATGTTTATATATTTAAAATGTATACAATAACAAATATAGTATGTTATTGAGTAGATAGAATGATATCATATGATATAGTTCTTTGTAAATCAATTTATAAAAATTCAACTAAATTTTAAGATTATATATTTCAGACTATGACATCATTATTTTAATAAGAGTCTGTAAAAAGAGATTTAGCTAAAAATAAGAGTGACAACTGTTGACAAGAGAGTAACAGGGGGGAAATACAGCATATACAATTTTAAGAGGTAAATTAATAAAATAAAAAATAAAAAAGAATTCTGTAGCTATAATTAAAATTATTCAACACAATAAAAAAATCATATAACAACATAAATTACTATATAAAATATATGCTTACAGCCTATTATATATATCATAAATCATTTATACAGGCTAGAAAAATCTGTCTTATGAAATACAAAGAGGAAAATGTACAACATTTTTGGAATTACTGGAATGATCTTTCCATCACATGAGATTATTCTTCAAATTTATCAGTGTTTACACTTCAAGAAATTGCACATAAAAAAATTTTAGCAAGAACCCAAAGGAAATTCATAGAGTACTTTAAACAATTATTTAGTAACTTAAATTTAAATACTTTGCCAAATGGGAAGAAAAAAAGACCTGACTAAATAACAAGAAAATATTTTTTTAAGAGTCCCTTGTACAGGTTTTTCCCACTAGGTAAGTAAGTGTTCTAGGAAACCATCGGCCTCAGCGTTGTTTTCAGAAAGTGTGTTCAGATTCAGTCAAATTTTTTTGGAGATTCTTTCAACGTATTTGCCCATTTTATGATAGCTGCTTTACATGA